ATCACGGAGCGACGGACTGCCTTAAAAGCTAAGCATGTGGACATGCTTCTTTTTCTGTATCATAACTCTTAGATCTTGGCAGAAGACTAAAAGCCATACATTTAATTTTAATTTTATTTAATATTTTTTTGTTTTTTTATAGTCCATGAAGGATCTCATTGTAAACAATTGAATTGTTTATTAAATTTTTATTTTTATTTTTAAATATGCATTTATTTAGTTTGTTTTTTAACGAGAAAATATTTTCGATAGTAGTATCGATACTATTGAACAATTGTTGTAAAACCATCGAAACTATTGAATGTTGCAACCATCGATAGTTTTACAGCTCTACTTCATTGGCCGACATACCTTGGGATCTTTTAGCACTAATGGAACCACCAAGCCTTGTGGCACAGCGTATCGCCTTCGGGGTGCACGCACTACTGGGACATGGCTATCCGATTGTCTCGAATCGAGTGCGGCACAGAGCGGAATAGTGTATCCAGATGCGCATCGCCATTGTCGTCGACCACTTCGAACTCGTGAAACAAACTATTCATATAGCACTTGTGCTTTCCATCCTCATGGAGTGCGCCATCACTGAACTCCTTGATCGCAGCTGTAAATCATTGCAAGCGTCAAAATTAACAGTATCATTTTCTGCAGTTATTATTTTTTTTTTCTGTGCTGCCTGCTTCACAGACGGCTGGGTGGATTGCTCCACACAGATGTCGTGGAAGAGCTTGGCCGTTTTAAGTATGTTCGTCGGTGGACACTGCAATTAAAAATGTGTTGCTTAAAGCCATACATTTAAGTTTTATTTTATTTAATATTTTTTTGTTTTGTTATAGTCCATGAATGATCTCATTATTGTAAACAATTGAATTGTTTTTTTTAAATTTTTATTTTTATTTTTAAATATGCATTTATATAGTTTGTTTTTTAACTTGAAAATATTTTCGATAGTACTATCGATACTATTGAATAATTGTTGTAAAACCATCGGTACCTTGGGATCGGTCTTCTTCCAGCACTAATGGAACCACCAGGCCTTGTGGCACAGCGTATCGCCTTCGGGGTGCACGCACTACTGGGACATGGCTATCCGATTGTCTCGAATCGAGTGCAGCACCGAGCGGAATAGTGTATCCAGATGCGCATCGCCATTGTCGTCGACCACTTCGAACTTGTGAAACAAACAATTCATATAGCACTTGTGCTTTCCATCCTCATGGAGTGCGCCATCACTGAACTCCTTGATCGCAGCTGTAAATTTTTGCAAGCGTCAAAATTAACAGTATCATTTTCTGCAGTTATTATTGTTTATTCTGTGCTGTCTGCTTTACAGACGGCTGGGTGGATTGCTCCACACAGATGTCGTGGAAGAGCTTGGCCGTTTTAAGTATGTTCGTCGATGGACACTGCAATTAAAAATGTGTTGCAATTTAATTTTAAGTTTATTTAATATTTTTTTGTTTTGTTATAGCTTGGCCGTTTTAAGTATGTTCGTCGGTGGACACTGCCATTAAAAATGTGTTGCTTAAAGCCATACATTTAATTTTAATTTTATTTAGTATTTTTTTGTTTTGTTATAGTCCATGAAGGATCTCATTATTGTAAACAACTGAATTGTTTATTAAATTTTTATTTTTATTTTTAAATATGCATTTATTTAGTTTGTTTTTTAACGAGAAAATATTTTCGATAGTAGTATCGATACTATTGAACAATTGTTGTAAAACCATCGAAACTATTGAATGTTGCAACCATCGATAGTTTTACAGCTCTACTTCATTGGCCGACATACCTTGGGATCTTTTAGCACTAATGGAACCACCAGGCCTTGTGGCACAGCGTATCGCCTTCGGGGTGCACGCACTACTGGGACATGGCTATCCGATTGTCTCGAATCGAGTGCGGCACCGAGCGGAATAGTGTATCCAGATGCGCATCGCCATTGTCGTCGACCACTTCGAACTCGTGAAACAAACTATTCATATAGCACTTGTGCTTTCCATCCTCATGGAGTGCGCCATCACTGAACTCCTTGATCGCAGCTGTAAATCATTGCAAGCGTCAAAATTAACAGTATCATTTTCTGCAGTTATTATTTTTTTTTTCTGTGCTGCCTGCTTCACAGACGGCTGGGTGGATTGCTCCACACAGATGTCGTGGAAGAGCTTGGCCGTTTTAAGTATGTTCGTCGGTGGACACTGCAATTAAAAATGTGTTGCTTAAAGCCATACATTTAAGTTTTATTTTATTTAATATTTTTTTGTTTTGTTATAGTCCATGAATGATCTCATTATTGTAAACAATTGAATTGTTTTTTTAAATTTTTATTTTTATTTTTAAATATGCATTTATGTAGTTTGTTTTTTAACTTGAAAATATTTTCGATAGTACTATCGATACTATTGAATAATTGTTGTAAAACCATCGGTACCTTGGGATCGGTCTTCTTCCAGCACTAATGGAACCACCAGGCCTTGTGGCACAGCGTATCGCCTTCGGGGTGCACGCACTACTGGGACATGGCTATCCGATTGTCTCGAATCGAGTGCAGCACCGAGCGGAATAGTGTATCCAGATGCGCATCGCCATTGTCGTCGACCACTTCGAACTCGTGAAACAAACAATTCATATAGCACTTGTGCTTTCCATCCTCATGGAGTGCGCCATCACTGAACTCCTTGATCGCAGCTGTAAATTTTTGTAAGCGTCAAAATTAACAGTATCATTTTCTGCAGCTATTATTGTTTATTCTGTGCTACCTGCTTCACAGACGGCTGGGTAGATTGCTCCATACAGATGTCGTGGAAGAGCTTGGCCGATTTAAGTATGTTCGTCGGTGGACACTGCAATTAAAAATGTGTTGCTTAAAGCCATATATTTAATTTTAAGTTTATTTAATATTTTTTTTGTTTTGTTATAGTCCATGAAGGATCTCATTATTGTAAACAACAGAATTTTCTATTAAAATTTTTATTTTTATTTTTAAATATGCATTTATTTAGTTTGTTTTTTAACGAGAAAATATTTTCGATAGTACTATCGATACTATTAAATAATTGTTTTAAAACCATGGAAACTATTGAATGTTGCAACCATCGATAGTTTTACAGCTCTACTTCATTGGCCGACATACCTTGGGATCGGTCTTCTTCCGGCACTAATGGAACCACCAGGCCATGTGGCACAGCATATCGCCTTCGGGGTGCACGCACTACTGGGACATGGCTATCAGTCCTCTGAGTTTAATGTTTTCCGGAGTTCGTATCTAGTATTTTTTTGTTTTGTTATAATCCATGAAGGATCTCATTATTGTAAACAACTGAATTGTTTATTAAAATTTTTATTTTTATTTTTAAATATGCATTTATTTAGTTTGTTTTTTAAGCTTGAAAATATTTTCGATAGTACTATCGATACTATCGAATAATGGTTGTAAAACCATCGAAACTATTGAATGTTGCAACCATCGATAGTTTGACAGCTCTACTTCATTGGCCGACATACCTTGGGATCGGTCTTCTTCCAGCACTAATGGAACCACCAGGCCTTGTGGCACAGCGTATCGCCTTCGGGGTGCACGCACAACTGGGACATGGCTATCAGATTGTCTCGAATCGAGTGCGGCACCGAGCGGAATAGTGTATCCAGATGCACATCGCCATTGTCGTCGACCACTTCGAACTCGTGAAACAAACAATTAATATAGCACTTGTGCTTTTCATCCTCATGGAGTGCGCCATCACTGAACTCCTTGATCGCAGCTGTAAGTTATTGCAAGCGTCAAAATTAACAGTATCATTTTCTGCAGTTATTATTGTTTATTCTGTGCTGCTCATCCACTGAGTCAGAGCGATTGTTCAGCAAAGCTGGACAGATTATCACGGAACGACGAGCTGCCTTAACAGCTAAGCATGTGGACATGCTTCTTTTTCTTCATCCTAACTCTTGGATCTTGGCAGAAGACTAAAAGCCATACATTTAATTTTAATTATATTTAATATTTTTTTGTTTTGTTATAGTCCATGAAGGATCTCATTATCGTAAACATCTGAATTGTTTATTAAAATTTTTATTTTTATTTTTAAATATGCATTTATTTAGTTTGTTTTTTAACTTGAAAATATTTTCGATAGTACTATCGATACTATTGAATAATTGTTGTAAAACCATCGAAACTATTGAATGTTGCAACCATCGATAGTTTTACAGCTCTACTTCATTGGCCGACATACCTTGGGATCGGTCTTCTTCCAGCACTAATGGAACCACCAGGCCTTGTGGCACAGCGTATCGCCTTCGGGGTGCACGCACTACTGGGACATGGCTATCAGATTGTCTCGAATCGAGTGCGGCACCGAGCGGAATAGTGTATCCAGATGCACATCGCCATTGTCGTCGACCATTTCGAACTCGTGAAACAAAGAATTCATACAGTACTTGTGCCTTTCATCCTCATGGAGTGCGCTATCACTGAACTCCTTGATCGCAACTGTAAATTATTGCAAAATTAACAGTATTATTTTCTGCAGCTTTTATTGTTTATTCTATGCTGCCTGCTTCACAGACGGCTGGGTGGATTGCTCCACACAGATGTCGTGGAAGAGCTTGGCCATTTTAAGTATGTTCGTCGGTGGACACTGCAATTAGAAATGTGCTGCTTAAAGCCATACATTTAATTTAAATTTTAATTAATATTTTTTTGTTTTGTTATAGTCCATGAAGGATCTCATTAATGTAAACAACTGAATTGTTTATTAAATTTTTATTTTTATTTTTAAATATGCATTTATTTAGTTTGTTTTTTAACTTGAAAATATTTTTGATAGTACTATCGATACTATTGAATAATTGTTGTAAAACCATCGAAACTATTGAATGTTGCAACCAGCGATAGTTTTACAGCTCTACTTCATTGGCCGACATACCTTGGGATCGGTCTTCTTCCAGCACTAACGGAACCACCAAGCCTTGTGGAACAGCGCATCACCTTCGGGGTGCACGTACTACTGGGACATGGCTATCAGATTGTCTCGAATCGAGTGCGGCACCGAGCGGAATAGTGTATCCAGATGCGCATCGCCATTGTCGTCGACCACTTCGAACTCGTGAAACAAACAATTCATATAGTAATTGTGCTTTTCATCCTCATGGAGTGCGCCATCACTGAACTCCTTGATCGAAGCTGTAAATTATTGCAAGCGTCAAAATTAACAGTATTATTTTCTGCAGCTATTATTGTTTATTCTATGCTGTCTGCTTCACAGACGGCTGGGTGGATTGCTCCACACAGATGTCGTGGAAGAGCTTGGCCATTTTAAGTATGTTCGTCGGTGGACACTGCAATTTAAAATGTGCTGCTTAAAGCCATACATTTAATTTAAATTTTAATTAATATTTTTTTGTTTTGTTATAGTCCATAAAGGATCTCATTAATGTAAACAACTGAATTGTTTATTAAATTTTTATTTTTAATTTTAAATATGCATTTATTTAGTTTGTTTTTTAACTTGAAAATATTTTCGATAGTACTATCGATACTATTGAATAATTGTTGTAAAACCATGGAAACTATTGAATGTTGCAACCATCGATAGTTTTACAGCTCTACTTCATTGGCCGACATACCTTGGGATCGGTCTTCTTCCAGCACTAATGGAACCACCAAGCCTTGTGGCACAGCGTATCGCCTTCGGGTGCACGCACTACTGGGACATGGCTGTCAGATTGTCTCGAATTGAGTGCGGCACCGAGCGGAATAGTGTATCCAGATGCACATCGCCATTGTCGTCGACCATTTCGAACTCGTGAAACAAAGAATTCATATAGTACTTGTGCCTTTCATCCCTATGGAGTGCGCCATCACTGAACTCCTTGATCGCAGCTGTAAATTATTGCAAGCGTCAAAATTAACAGTATTATTTTTTGCATATATTATTGTTTATTCTGTGCTGCTCATCCACTGAGTCAGAGCGATTTTTCAGCAAAGCTGGACAGATTATCACGGAACGAGGAGCTGCCTTAAAAGCTAAGCATGTGGACATGCTTCTTTTTCTTCATCATAACTCTTGGATCTTGGCAGAATACTAAAAGCCATACATTTAATTTTAATTATATTTAATATTTTTTGTTTTGTTATAGTCTATGAAGGATCTCATTATTGTAAACATCTGAATTGTTTATTAAATTTTTATTTTTTTTTTAAATATGCATTTATTTAGTTTGTTTGTTAACTTGAAAATATTTTCGATAGTACTATCGATACTATTGAACAATTGTTGTAAAACCAACGAAACTATTGAATGTTGCAACCATCGATAGTTTTACAGCTCTACTTCATTGGCCGACATACCTTGGGATCGGTCTTCTTCCAGCACTAATGGAACCACCAGGCCTTGTGGCACAGCGTATCGCCTTCGGGGTGCACGCACTACTGGGACATGGCTATCAGATTGTCTCGAATCGAGTGCGGCACCGAGCGGAATAGTGTATCCAGATGCACATCGTCGTTGTCGTCGACCACTTCGAACTCGTGAAACAAACAATTAATATAGCACTTGTGCTTTTCATCCTCATGGAGTGCGCCATCACTGAACTCCTTGATCGCAGCTGTAAATTATTGCAAGCGTCAAAATTAACAGTATTATTTTTTGCATATATTATTGTTTATTCTGTTCTGCTCATCCACTGAGTCAGAGCGATTTTTCAGCAAAGCTGGACAGATTATCACGGAACGAGGAGCTGCCTTAAAAGCTAAGCATGTGGACATGCTTCTTTTTCTTCATCATAACTCTTGGATCTTGGCAGAAGACTAAAAGCCATACATTTAATTTTAATTATATTTAATATTTTTTTGTTTTGTTATAGTCCATGAAGGATCTCATTATCGTAAACATCTGAATTGTTTATTAAAATTTTTATTTTTATTTTTAAATATGCATTTATTTAGTTTGTTTTTTAACTTGAAAATATTTTCGATAGTACTATCGATACTATTGAATAATTGTTGTAAAACCATCGAAACTATTGAATGTTGCAACCGTCGATAGTTTTACAGCTCTACTTCATTGGCCGACATACCTTGGGATCGGTCTTCTTCCAGCACTAATGGAACCACCAGGCCTTGTGGCACAGCGTATCGCCTTCGGGGTGCACGCACTACTGGGACATGGCTATCAGATTGTCTCGAATCGAGTGCGGCACCGAGCGGAATAGTGTATCCAGATGCACATCGCCATTGTCGTCGACCATTTCGAACTCGTGAAACAAAGAATTCATACAGTACTTGTGCCTTTCATCCTCATGGAGTGCGCTATCACTGAACTCCTTGATCGCAACTGTAAATTATTGCAAAATTAACAGTATTATTTTCTGCAGCTTTTATTGTTTATTCTATGCTGCCTGCTTCACAGACGGCTGGGTGGATTGCTCCACACAGATGTAGTGGAAGAGCTTGGCCATTTTAAGTATGTTCGTCGGTGGACACTGCAATTAGAAATGTGCTGCTTAAAGCCATACATTTAATTTAAATTTTAATTAATATTTTTTTGTTTTGTTATAGTCCATGAAGGATCTCATTAATGTAAACAACTGAATTGTTTATTAAATTTTTATTTTTATTTTTAAATATGCATTTATTTAGTTTGTTTTTTAACTTAAAAATATTTTTGATAGTACTATCGATACTATTGAATAATTGTTGTAAAACCATCGAAACTATTGAATGTTGCAACCAGCGATAGTTTTACAGCTCTACTTCATTGGCCGACATACCTTGGGATCGGTCTTCTTCCAGCACTAATGGAACCACCAAGCCTTGTGGAACAGCGCATCGCCTTCGGGGTGCACGTACTACTGGGACATGGCTATCAGATTGTCTCGAATCGAGTGCGGCACCGAGCGGAATAGTGTATCCAGATGCGCATCGCCATTGTCGTCGACCACTTCGAACTCGTGAAACAAACAATTCATATAGTAATTGTGCTTTTCATCCTCATGGAGTGCGCCATCACTGAACTCCTTGATCGAAGCTGTAAATTATTGCAAGCGTCAAAATTAACAGTATTATTTTCTGCAGCTATTATTGTTTATTCTATGCTGTCTGCTTCACAGACGGCTGGGTGGATTGCTCCACACAGATGTCGTGGAAGAGCTTGGCCATTTTAAGTATGTTCGTCGGTGGACACTGCAATTTAAAATGTGTTGCTTAAAGCCATACATTTAATTTAAATTTTAATTAATATTTTTTTGTTTTGTTATAGTCCATAAAGGATCTCATTAATGTAAACAACTGAATTGTTTATTAAATTTTTATTTTTAATTTTAAATATGCATTTATTTAGTTTGTTTTTTAACTTGAAAATATTTTCGATAGTACTATCGATACTATTGAATAATTGTTGTAAAACCATGGAAACTATTGAATGTTGCAACCATCGATAGTTTTACAGCTCTACTTCATTGGCCGACATACCTTGGGATCGGTCTTCTTCCAGCACTAATGGAACCACCAAGCCTTGTGGCACAGCGTATCGCCTTCGGGTGCACGCACTACTGGGACATGGCTGTCAGATTGTCTCGAATTGAGTGCGGCACCGAGCGGAATAGTGTATCCAGATGCACATCGCCATTGTCGTCGACCATTTCGAACTCGTGAAACAAAGAATTCATATAGTACTTGTGCCTTTCATCCTTATGGAGTGCGCCATCACTGAACTCCTTGATCGCAGCTGTAAATTATTGCAAGCGTCAAAATTAACAGTATTATTTTTTGCATATATTATTGTTTATTCTGTGCTGCTCATCCACTGAGTCAGAGCGATTTTTCAGCAAAGCTGGACAGATTATCACGGAACGAGGAGCTGCCTTAAAAGCTAAGCATGTGGACATGCTTCTTTTTCTTCATCATAACTCTTGGATCTTGGCAGAAGACTAAAAGCCATAAATTTTAATTTTAATTATATTTAATATTTTTTTGTTTTGTTATAGTCCATGAAGGATCTCATTATTGTATATGTGTATGTATGTGTGTTTGTGTGAGGATTTATCTAAGTGCGTTTTTTTGTAATTTTTATTTCAGGAAGCCATGCAAGAGGTTTGGGTTGCTTGTAAAGAGTGGATACGGGCGGCTGCCAGAACTGAAACCACCAAAAATTCATTTATTTCAGTTGAACCAGTCACTATGCAGTCAGCAGTGGAGCTTACACATCCAGGCGGCACAATGCTAATACATGTAGAATGGAGCAGAGTTTACGCAGCAGGCGCAACCATACATGTACAGCTGGACAATTACAATGTATGTATATGTATATGTGTATGTATGTGTGTTTGTGTGAGGATTTATCTAAGTGCGTTTTTTTGTAATTTTTATTTCAGGAAGCCATGCAAGAGGTTTGGGTTGCATGTAAAGAGTGGATACGGGCGGCTGCCAGAACTGAAACCACCAAAAATTCATTTGTTTCTTGCTTACTGTCTCGCGCTTTCTACTAAGTTATGGCAGGTGCACCAGTCACTATGCAGTCAGCAGTGGAGCTTGCACATCCAGGCGGCACAATGCTAATACATGTACAATGTAGCAGAGTTTACGCAGCAGGCGCAACCATACATGTACAGCTGGACAATGACAGTGTATGTATATGTATAGTGTATGTATGTGTGTTTGTGTGAGGATTTATCTAAGTGCGTTTTTTGTAATTTTTATTTCAGGAAGCCATGCAAGAGGTTTGGGTTGCATATAAAGAGTGGATACGGGCGGCTGCCAGAACTGAAACCACCAAAAATTCATTTGTTTCAGTTGAACCAGTCACTATGCAGTCAGCAGTTGTGTCGAATCGAGTGCGGCACCCACTCATCCACTGAGTCAGAGCGATTGTTCAGCAAAGCTGGATAGATTATCACGGAACGACGAGCCTTAAAAGCTAAGCATGTGGACATGCTTCTTTTTCTTCATCATAACTCTTGGATCTTGGCAGAAGACTAAAAGCCATACATTTAATTTTAATTATATTTAATATTTTTTTGTTTTGTTATAGTCCATGAAGGATCTCATTATTGTAAACATTTGAATTGTTTATTAAAATTTTTATTTTTATTTTTAAATATGCATTTATTTAGTTTGTTTTTTAACCCTTTATATGGCAGTGTTGCATATCTGCAACATACCCTTTAAAAGATATTTTTTCGCAATGCAAATCGAAAAAATCGAATGTGGCTATATGTTGTACATCTGAAACAAACGTATTTTATAAATGATTTGCTTTGGGCACATTTCTAGATGTTTTGTAAAACATATGTTCACTTTCCCGCCAATTTTGTGAGAAGCACATGTTGTGTGCGCTGAAAAAATTGTGTTGCAAAATTTTATTAAAAATATAGATATTTCTTTACGAAAAACTTAAGAAAAACAAAGGTAAATATGTTTCAAATGCATGTGCTATCAAGTTTTCACGTTTCTTGTTGTGTATTGTGTGTAGATTCGAAAAATCGGTATGTTGCAGATATACATCAAACAAGTATTCGAAGTTATATTGTGCAGAATTTATTTTGTTGTATTTATGCAACATAGAGTGTTTGTGTTTATATTATATGTTGTTATGTGTTTATACATATGGTTATATGTTGTTGTTATGTGTCATAGAACTTGTCTTGGGTTTGTTGTATGTGTTTTATGAGACTACATATATAAATAGTACTTCTTACGCAGGAAATATGTCAGGAAAAGGTTTAACACCTTCACAGGTTGAAAATTATTTCAACAGTTTAGATAGCGAGGATGAACTTGACTTTTCTGCTGATGAAGAAAGCGATTTTTATCCAGATGAGAAAGATGCAGGTAGTACGGATGAAGATGACATCGATGACCAAAATCCACCGAGTAATGCCTTAGACGTTTCAAACTCAAATCTCGTAGATGATTCTGAGCCAAATGTTAAAAGTAATAACCCTGATCTGAAAAGAAACTTGTTATGGAGAAAACGCAGTTTAATTTTGAACGAAAATCAACTGCAGTTTCTCGGGAGTACTATGTTGCATCCGGAACTAATGGAACTATCAGAGCCAATACAATTTTTTTGGTATCTTTTTCCAAAAAACCTGTTTGATGAAATTACAATCGAAACAAATCTTTATATTCGCCAAAAAGACCCTAACGCACATGTCAATTTTACGTCCTTAGATATTCGACAGTTTGTTGGAATAATATTATACATGTCAATTTCGCGTCTTCCAAGAATTACTCAATATTGGTCAACAATAATTGGAGTACCAGCGATACAGAATATTATGTCGCAAAAAACATTTGATGAGGAGGCGTCACATTTACTTTAACAACAATGATAATGCTCTGCCTTTGTCACACTCCTGTCACGATCGGCTATTCAAAATCAGGCCAATAATAGATGAACTAAACAAAAATTTTAAAAAAGTTCCTATGGAACAATTTTTGTGTGTTGATGAACTGATATGTTCAACAAAGGCTAAGAACCACATGAAAAGGTACAATCCCAACAATCCATCGATAGTTTGACAGCTCTACTTCATTGGCTAAAAGCCATACATTTAATTTTAATTATATTTAATATTTTTTTGTTTTGTTATAGTCCATGAAGGATCTCATTATTGTAAACATCTGAATTGTTTATTAAAATTTTTATTTTTGTTTTTAAATATGCATTTATTTAGTTTGTTTTTTAGTACTATCGATACTATTGAATAATATATGCAAAACCATCGAAACTATTGAATGTTGCAACCATCGATAGTTTGACAGCTCTACTTCATTGGCTAAAAGCCATACATTTAAATTTAAATACATTAGTTGCAACCATCGATAGTTTTACAGCTCTACTTCATTGGCTAAAACCCATACATTTAATTTTAATAATATTTAATATTTTTTTGTTTTGTTATAGTCCATGAAGGATCTCATTATTGTAAACATCTGAATTGTTTATTAAAATTTTTATTTTTATTTTTAAATATGCATTTATTTAGTTTGTTTTTTAACTTGAAAATATTTTCGATAGTACTACCGATACTATTGAATAATTGTTGCAAAACCATCGAAACTATTGAATGTTGCAACCATCGATAGTTTTACAGCTCTACTTCATTGGCTAAAAGCCATACATTTATCTATAATTATATTTAATATATTTTTGTTTTATTATAGTCCATGAAGGATCTCATTTGACAGCTCTACTTCATTGGCTAACAGCCATACATTTAATTTTAATTATATTTAATATTTTTTTGTTTTGTTATAGTCCATGAAGGATCTCATTATTGTAAACATCTGAATTGTTTATTAAAATTTTTATTTTTATTTTTAAATATGCATTTATTTAGTTTGTTTTTTAACTTGAAAATATTTTCGATAGTACTATCGATACTATTGAATAATTGTTGCAAAACCATCGAAACTATTGAATGTTGCAACCATGGATAGTTTTTCAGCTTCATCAGTTTGGGATCTTTTAGCACTAATGGAACCTGTGCCTTTTGGCACAGCGTGGAGCAGAGTTTACGCAGCAAGCACAACCATACATGACAATGTATGTATATGTATAGTGTATGTATGTGTGTTTGTGTGAGGATTTATCTAAGTGCGTTTTTTGTAATTTTTATTTCAGGAAGCCATGCAAGAGGTTTGGGTTGCATATAAAGAGTGGATACGGGCGGCTGCCAGAACTGAAACCACCAAAAATTCATTTGTTTCTTGCTTACTCTCTCGCGCTCTCTACTAAGTTATGGCAGTTGCACCAGTCACTATGCAGTCAGCAGTGGAGCTTACACATCCAGGCAGCACAATGCTAATACATGTACAATGTAGCAGAGTTTACGCAGCAGGCGCAACCATACATGTACAGCTGGACAATGACAGTGTATGTTTATGTATAGTGTATGTATGTGTGTTTGTGTGAGGATTTATCTAAGTGCGTTTTTTTTGTAATTTTTATTTCAGGAAGCCATGCAAGAGGTTTGGGTTGCATGTAAAGAGTGGATACGGGCGGCTGCCAGAACTGAAACTACCAAAAATTCATTTGTTTCTTGCTTACTCTCTCGCGCTTTCTACTAAGTTATGGCATGTAAAGAGTGGATACGGGCGGCTGCCAGAACTGAAACCACCAAAAATTCATTTGTTTCTTGCTTACTCTCTCGCGCTTTCTACTAAGTTATGGCAGGTGCACCAGTCACTATGCAGTCAGCAGTGGAGCTTACACATCCAGGCGGCACAATGCTAATACATGTACAATGTAGCAGAGTTTACGCAGCAGGCGCAACCATACATGTACAGCTGGACAATGACAGTGTATGTATATGTATAGTGTATGTATGTGTGTTTGTGTGAGGATTTATCTAAGTGCGTTTTTTGTAATTTTTATTTCAGGAAGCCATGCAAGAGGTTTGGGTTGCATATAAAGAGTGGATACGGGCGGCTGCCAGAACTGAAACCACCAAAAATTCATTTGTTTCTTGCTTACTCTCTCGCGCTCTCTACTAAGTTATGGCAGTTGCACCAGTCACTATGCAGTCAGCAGTGGAGCTTACTCATCCAGGCGGCGCAATGCTAATACATGTACAATGGAGCAGAGTTTACGCAGCAGTCGCAACCATACATGTACAGCTGGACAATGACAATGTATGTATATGTATAGTGTATGTATGTGTGTTTGTGTGAGGATTTACCTAAGTGCGTTTTTTGTAATTTTTATTTCAGGAAGCCATGCAAGAGGTTTGGGTTGCATATAAAGAGTGGATACGGGCGGCTGCCAGAACTAAATCACCAAAAATTCATTTGTTTCAGTTGAACCAGTCACTAAGCAGTCACCAGTTGTGTCGAATCGAGTGCGGCACCCACTCATCCACTGAGTCAGAGCGATTGTTCAGCAAAGCTGGACAGATTATCACGGAACGACGAGCCTTAAAAGCTAAGCATGTAGACATGCTTCTTTTTCTTCATCATAACTCTTGGATCTTGGCAGAAGACTAAAAGCCATACATTTAATTTTAATTATATTTAATATTTTTTTGTTTTGTTATAGTCCATGAAGGATCTCATTATTGTAAGCATTTGAATTGTTTATTAAAATTTTTATTTTTATTTTTAAATATGCATTTATTTAGTTTGTTTTTTAACCCTTTATATGGCAGTGTTGCATATCTGCAACATACCCTTTAAAAGATATTTTTTCGCAATGCAAATCGAAAAAATCGAATGTGGCTATATGTTGTACATCTGAAACAAACGTATTTTATAAATGATTTGCTTTGGGCACATTTCTAGATGTTTTGTAAAACATATGTTCACTTTCCCGCCAATTTTGTGAGAAGCACATGTTGAGTGCGCTGAAAAAATTGTGTTGCAAAATTTTATTAAAAATATAGATATTTCTTTACGAAAAACTTAAGAAAAACAAAGGTAAATATGTTTCAAATGCATGTGCTATCAAGTTTTCACGTTTCTTGTTGTGTATTGTGTGTAGATTCGAAAAATCGGTATGTTGCAGATATACATCAAACAAGTATTCGAAGTTATATTGTGCAGAATTTATTTTGTTGTATTTATGCAACATAGAGTGTTTGTGTTTATATTATATGTTGTTATGTGTTTATACATATGGTTATATGTTGTTGTTATGTGTCATAGAACTTGTCTTGGGTTTGTTGTATGTGTTTTATGAGACTACATATATAAATAGTACTTCTTACGCAGGAAATATGTCAGGAAAAGGTTTAACACCTTCACAGGTTGAAAATTATTTCAACAGTTTAGATAGCGAGGATGAACTTGACTTTTCTGCTGATGAAGAAAGCGATTTTTATCCAGATGAGAAAGATGCAGGTAGTACGGATGAAGATGACATCGATGACCAAAATCCACCGAGTAATGCCTTAGACGTT